AACTTTAACAAATTAATAATAAAGATTAAATAAAAACTTATATAAAGAAATATTAATATAATTATTAAAACTAAAAGATAAAAAGTAAATAATAAATAATTATTATTATTATTCTTAATTAAATAAATAATTAATAAATTAAATATAATATTTAATTAATTAAAAATATAATAAGAATAATATTAGTAGCTATATTTAATTAAGAAAGTTAAACTAAATAATATTTATAAATAAAAATATTCTTATAAAAATAAATAAAAAGATAATCATAATAAAATTTACAAATTTATTAATAAATAATAAAATATAATTTTAATATTTTAATTTTTTATTATTTTTAATTAATTTTGATAAAATATATAATAAATTTATAATAAATAAATTATAATATTTCTACTAATAAATAAATAATTATAATTATAAATTTTATAAATTATAAATAATAATAATAATAATATAAGAAAATAATTTTTATTAATTAAATAAATCCCAATACTAATAACTTAATTAAATAAGACAGAATTGAAATTTTATTTTGAAAAAATTGTTTATCTGAGATACAAATCTTTTTGCACCAACCCATATATATTATAGAGTATTGACTCTCTCTATAACCTCTGATCACGCAATAGCAAAACTTTTTCAGTGATTTGCAACCTCAATTAAAAATGTGAATAAATAATTTAGTTCACTGAAAAGAAAATGGTTTATAGTAATTTTCGATTTTTTCATTGTGGATATTTCGTCAAATAATCTACGCATATACATTCGTTGGGTGTGTGTTTTTCTCTTATGGGTGTGATGGTCATGTCGAATGTACATCAAAACAAATGTGGTGCATTTTTTTATTTACTTATGATTTTACGTCACTTGGACAATGATTAGCTCTTGTGGTTTGTGAAACCTGTACAATAACGGTCGTGGAAGAACTTCCAAATCATCATGACGTCTATTTTTTGATGAATAAACTGAACAAAAATATTATATTAGCTTTCTATTTTATCGCATCGTAGGCTTTAAATCAACTATTATCGTATGCTCTAAAAACTGGTAAGCTCAAATGTGTGACTATAGGTAAGGCACATTAATGTAACTAAAGGACGGTATTTCATCGGTCATTTACAATCAACAAGTGCAAATTTTTGTGGATTACTCGATATAACTTCTATAGTTTCGATATGTTTGCGTGTTATTCTTATTCTTATTATTTTATAACAATCAAAACTCCAAGATTGGAATCTTTTGATTTTTGTTCAAACACGAGTAAAAAAGATTTTTTTAAATATGATGATATCTAGTAAAATGATCTTTGAACCTCTATGCTGACGGAAAATTTAAGTAAATACTAATCTCATCAAATTTTTGTATTCATACATAGACATCTGCCATTACTCATTTTTTCTTCATGTTACATTTAGGTGAGTGAAAACCTGTATTCAAGTTCAATTTTGGCGAATTAGAACGTATGCAACACAAAACTTTGTTCCTACATCTTACGCGCTTTCTTATGGGTCTCTAATCAAATCATGAAGATTAATCGGATTCCTCTTTTTTACCAGCTTTCGCTTTATATTAATTCTAATAATCGACTATCCGTCGTTATGCTCTTCGTCATGGAACATTTGATGGTCACTTTCTAGGTATCTTGCGTCTCTTTTAAACCCTACACAATTTATTGTGTTTTTCCTCAGAAGTTTCTATATCACGTGAAACGACTTGGATTGGCGTTTTTTTCTACAGGTTACGATTCTATCCTCGTATTACATTTTGGTGTAAAATAAATCATGTATTTATATATTGCTCTACGTTGATTGGCAGGTCGAATTTGTGACGTCACAGATTTCACTCTATGGCCAGGCCAGGTAGAAACCAAAACAACTTCACAAAGTTCAATTTCTTTTTTATTTCAAATATTTTTGAACGTTATTAAGTTGAGCGAAAATAAGGTATGTTATTTTTTATTTTTATTTCATTTCGTTCTGTATTCTTTTTGCAATAAAAAAAGACTTAGAGTTATTCCACGAAATTCCAAGGTCCATTGAAATAGTCTGTGCACGCCATAATTTGCATGCTAAAAAATAAGAAATTACCTCTAAATAATCGACTAAATAATAATACTTCTAAACCTTTTTAAATTTATCTTTACTTTTTTTCGTGGATATTGTAACGCAAAGATTTCAAATTTAGCACACCAACACTTTCCTCAACTCTTAATTGCCATCTACATTTCCTCACTCGTTAAACCTCCTTCATCGCATTTGGTCCAAAAAAAATCACGTCATACCTTATTTCGGTAAACACTTTTTTACCGAATTAACAGCGGTTATAAAAAAAATAAAAACCTCCGACCATTGTCGCAAAATTAAAAAATTCTAAATATCTTCGAAATAATAAACAATGGAAGATAAAAAGAGAGCATTTTCTATGAGGCAAGAACCTTCTCGAGAAGCAAGTCCACCAGCCAAGAAACTACTTATATCAACGCAGAACACAAATAGCCTCAATGGGGTTAATAATGGCTATACAAATACTACTACAAGTAGTTATCTAAATGAAGCCGGTAAGATCGATGTGGCCGACCCTCGAACTCTTGAGGTAAATTTCTTAGTATGAATAAAAATTTTGAAGGTTTGAATTAAAAATACAAGGATTTTTGACGATAAATTTTTTAAAAATTTTCGTTGTTCTTTTTTTTTTTATTTAATAGGCGTATCAAAAAGAAGCTATATTTCGTAGAATGCTTGAGTATAAGCGTGAGCTTGAAAGGATAACACTTATTAAGGAAGAACTAGAAAAAAAAAATGAATATTGTGACGGTCATTTGAATATTGTCAATACATATTGGAATAAAGTGATTATTTTGAGACTTGAATGAATGTTAACCTTATTTTATCCCTTAATTAATCAATTAATTGCTAATTTTTAGATGCTTGAAGACCTACGGACGATAATAAAAAGAGTGGATCAAAATACAAGCCTTTCAAAGATAAATTCACATTCTGGTACTATTAAAAAAAAAAACTTTAAAATTTTTACTGCCGTTCCTTTACTCGATTTTTCCGCAATTTCACTCATATTTTTTTAGTTTTAATTCTTTGCTAATTTTTCTGTTGTTATTGATTGTCATGGCGCAAAACTATTAGCCCGATCACTCGACTCGAATTTTTTCAAACATTTGATTACAATCGGGGAAGAAGAACCACCTCCGTCTCTTGAAAAGATCACGCAAGTATTGGAGGAAAAATGCCTACTAACACGAGATGTTGTAAATTCAGTACTTGATAAGATTGTCGCGCTGGTCGAAGAAAAAAACTCATTTATAAAGTCAATGCAATTAGAAAAAGATCCTATAAAATTAGCCGAAAAGTTAAGATGGGAAAATGAGAATTTAATTAGAAAAGATGAGAATAATCAAAAACTTTTGAATAAAATGCAATCGCAGAACTCTGATTTGACTTCCGAGGTAATATTTCTTAATTTGTAGAAACTTTGAATAAATAATATTTTTCCCATAATTAATCATGAAATTCCTCTGAAAAGGTCTCATCCTTAAAGGACAAATATCAGAAAACAAAAAATCGTCTTGACGAAACTCAAACCCGTTTAGAAGAGACAAAAATGGAATTAGTGAAGTCCGAGAAACGATTTGATCAAAAAAGATGCCCTACATGGGGCTTTTGGACCCATGATGTTGGTGGTTCGGCGGAAAGTGAATCTCATACGGATCATACACGTTCTCACGATCATAATAATGTTCGATCCCCGGAACATGTAAATTCTTTAATTGATTAAGTTAGATTTTTGTAATCAAACATTTGCAATTTTATTAATTTTGTGTTAATTTTTAGGTCTCGTCAGTAATCGACCAAGATGCTGAAAAATTCAGACTTTTATACATCGAACGGGAAAAAGAAATCGAAAGACAACGTACTGACATGACTGCATTAAAAACGGAACTTGAACAATTACGAATCAAGGTAAATAAATTCGACTCGAAATATTTTATATAAATCAAGCTCTCAATTTTTTTTTTGCTAATAATCTTCAATTTAGTTAATGAAACCTTTGTCATTTGAAAATATATTTATCATCAAATAAACTTAGTATGCACATATTCCGGATGAACGAATAGCAGAAACTCCCCTATTTAAAAATTTGCAGATGCAATACTATCATTCAAAAGAAAACGCTGAACAATGTCGTTCAATTATTGAAAGCATGAGTCGAGACTTGGAAGAATTAAAAGGAAGTCGCCGAGCCTTTGAAGAACAAGCAGAGGTTTGTCTAAATTAGTTTCATTCTTGATTTTTTGATCATGCATTGTTAAGATGAATTATTTCAACTAATAGAAGGAGGCCAATCAAAAAGTACTGGATATTACAAAGGAAATGCAATTGTTAGAGAGTGATCTAAATCGAGTACGAGCATTAAGGGATGCTGCAATACATGATGCAGAACTAGCAAAAGCTCGTAATGGTCCGGGATTTCAGCAAATTCCTGCACTTCGGAGACTTGCGAATGGTCGTAAATCTCAGCTAAGACGATTAATGGATGATATTCGTCTGGAGAATGCAAAAGCTGCTTATGAGGCTGGTGACATGGAGAGTTTAGAATTTTACTCGAATGAACGGGAGCCAACTGAGGATACTGACATTTATAAATTAAAATACAATATGTCATTAGTAGCTAACCTAAAAGAGAAAATTAGGTAAATAGTTGTTGAATGTTTTATCGGTCTTTCGTGTAAGTTTTGAGCTTTTAATTCAATTTATTTTTGTATGCTTTTCGAAGAGAACTAAAAGACGAGAATTCGTATTTACGCGTACAATTGGACGGTTATAAAGATGCTCCTTCTGATATTAAACGCACACAAGAACTAATAGTGGCAGAAAGAAATTCTCGTAAGGAGATTGAAATGCTCAAACGAATTCTGGATGAATATGATGAAAAATATGGAATACGAGATCCTGGAGATGATCCGTTGCATATTCTCTCGGCTAAAATCGAGGAGAAGGACAAAAAAATAAATGAGCTATCTAATGAATTACGATTGCTTAAGATTGTAAGAGTTGATCCTCTTTTTCTTCCACAATCATTGATAACACTTACGAATAGTATGTGTATCTATGTTATATATTGGTATATTCTATAAGTAACTTACAATCGTATCTTTCATCATTTGAAAATTTAAGCGAGAAAAAACGCATGTACGAGACTTGACAGCTTTAGACGACGAAATACAGCAGCTTGACGAGAAAGCTAATCAAAAGATGTTTGATATAATCAAACACGAAAACGAATTGATGCGATTAGCGGAAATGGTATTTACTATTTTTATTTAATTATCAATCTACCGGTTCTGTACACAGACTTATGGTTACTTAAATACTTAACGTCCTCTTTAAAGAAAAATAAAGCGGAACAAAAATGTCAAGGATTGACGAATAAATATGCTTCTCTGGAGCAACAAAACAAAGATTATGCTGCATTGCGATTACGGATGGAAGAAAATATTCGCCAGCAAGAGTATCAAATCAAGCATCTACAACAACAACTTGTAAGTGTCTCATTGATTATTTGCAATTTCTTTGGAATGATTAATAATATTTTTTTTCTTACAGGGTAACATGGAAAAAGAATCTGCGGCTGCGGACTCTGTAATAACGACTTATAGACTCAAAATACAAGATCTAAATCATGAGAATAGTGCACTTCGTGAAAAATACTCAAAAACTGAACATAAATACAACGAGGTAACGGCCTGAATAAGTTTTAAAAATTTATTTTTTAATCCCATTTTAATTGAATTTAATTTTTTATGATTGAATAGATATATAATCAGTACAGAGAAAGATATGAACAGTGTGAATATGAAAATAGTTTAAGGCGGAAGGCTCAAGATGAAGCTGCCGTATACAAGAAAAGACTAGAGGATATATCAAAACAATTATCGTCTGGTAGCTCTAAATCGGTATTACAAGCAGAACTGGACGGTTACAAGGTATTTATACATGATTTTGGCCTCATTTATTATTATAAATAAACTATTTTAATGAAAATATTAATTGAATGTCTTTCGCTCTTAGCAAATGATTAAATGTCCTGTGTGCCGTATCCGCATAATTGACACATGCATCACGAAGTGCATGCATGTCTTTTGTGGCGATTGTGTCAAAGCACGCGTAGAAACCCGCCAACGTAAATGTGGAAAATGCGGTGAACAATTTGGGACCTCTGACGTCAAGAAATTATATTTCTAAATTTGGTTTGCCTTTTTTTCGCTGGTATATAATGTCTCGAACCATTCATTTACCTCTCTCCGATTTTCTTTTTTTTTTTGTAAATTTTTTTCTAATCCCCTTACTATATACTTTACTTAAATAACAAATACCCATCATTCGCATATTTTTTTTTACTCGATGTGAGTAATATTCAATCTCGGCAACGGTGCATGTGTTATCCAAAACTTGGAAATTCGAGCTTCGAATTCGTTTTGGCTTTCACTGGGCTAGCTAGCTATTAGGTAGATAGCGCCTAGATATAGATCAAAACAATAACAATCTCTCAAACATTCTTCGTTGTCTTTCTTATTTTGTACAGATTTTTTTTTCATAATAATACATAAAACACAAATACCATCTTCGTAGATAAGTTTTCAATCACTTGTTTTTCTTCCTTTTTTTATTTTTGATTTAATAACGCCAAAAATCACATACTTCACATTATTTCCTCATCTACATACACAACACACCATCCAGAGTAGATAATAATAATAATCTCAATAATAACGATGATGATACAAAAATATGAAAAAAATACCTTTCGACTGAATAAAGAGATTTAAAAATCAGTGCATTATTTAATATAATTTTGTTACACTCGAGCATTATTGTTTTAATTAATATCACGCTGTTAATACATATAATAAAAATATTTAATCTTGCGTGGTTGTGATTCCTCGTACGATGCATTTTTACATAAGAAATCTAAAGATTTTAATAATGATTCTATAGTTATTCATCCTATCCAGATATTGGATTAAATAGGAAGACCTTACAGAATTCTTATCATTTGTTCATTTTCTGATCTTACTGGTACCGCTTCAAGTTCACGATGACGGCGACGACGACACCGAAGTTTCTGTGACGCTTGTTTTATAGGTGAGGAACTATGTATCCCTTTTATAAAAGGGATAATCAAGTCACATAATATTTTATATCTAAAAATAATTAATATATAAGATTTATTATTGTGCGGATGAATTCAACCTTCCAAGAATATGCTTGATGACCTAGAATTAAAGGTTCCTTATGCTGGAAAGAATAGATTACAACCAGTCATATATGACAGAAGTTCAAGTCTATCTAATGGAGATGCGTGAGATATCATTCCTCCTCATCTAACCTTCCACTCGCATTCTCAGCTGAACCTGAAAGGTGCATTAAGCGTGGCACATTTGGGTGAATTTTATTTGGGGATTTCTATTCTGGTTAATGAACCTAGGATGTGGTTCATTGCTTGTTCCAGGAATTTGATGCTATTTCTGGCAATTATGACGTATTTAGAAATCACTCGTCAATGATATGAAGACCACCAACGGTCGTTATATGTCTGTTAACCAGTATGACCCCATAACTTTGTAATTTATTTTAAACTCTGAGCGAAAAATAAAATAAATTGACATCAATGCATACTCTGACACTTTTTTACTTGATCTTTTAAATATATACTGCGCGCAATTTTATGCTATTTGTGCAACAAAGATTCTAGAATGGTTATATATCATCATCGTCTTCATCGTCAGGCTCGATGTTAGGTAAGCACTAATTAATTGGTTTTATAAATAGAAAACGAATGATAATTTTTGACAGAGACAATCCGTTAGATGGCTTGACTGACTTACCAAGAATTCTGCAATGACATTTCTGGAAGATGAGTCATCGAGAATTATAGGGATAGACATCTTTTATCCAAAAATAAACAAAATTAATTCGTGATGTATTAGTAAACTCAAAACGTCTCTTGTTATGAATAGCTTACTTCGAGTTTCAATGTGTTCCTCGCATCCACCAGTATTGTAATAGTTGTGGATGCTTTTAATGCTGGGAAACTTGGGCTCAAGACTTTTTTGTGATATCTAACATCTTTACTAACCGGGCAATCACAGTTTGTGTCCTTTTGATCCATATTCCACTGTACAACAATTAAAATAATCATTAAGAGAATCATAATATAACGTATAAAGAGGGATGAAGAGAATTGCCTCTGTTCCGTCTGGTAATCCCTTAATATAGCTCCCGAGACAGAATCTTGGGTGTTCCTTTGAGAAGCTAAACTTTATCATTTCAGATTTCTTGCCAACCAATGTGCGGAGTGGAACAACCAATTGATTGGCTATCATGCTGATACAACACCAATCCCGACGTTCATTCGATTCATCCATTTGTATCGGTTCACAATCTTCATTCTCGTAATCCATTAACAATTTGACGAATGACTCGATGCTTTCAATCGAACCATCGTCACATTGCGCGTTGGACCTTTTTAAAAGATTAATTAATCTTCCGGATGAAATTAATAGAAATCTCAGGATAAATAAACAAGATAAATTACGTGATATTAATTTCTTCTTTAGCATTGTCATATGATATAATGCACCTTTCGAAGGCCACGCTCTCGTGCAGCTTAAGTGCCTGATAGAAATGATTCAGGAAAAGCGAGCGTTTAATTGATTCTTTACCCTTCGAGTTATTAAATTCATATTTAACAAAGACTTCTTTTGGCAGTTTGCTGTTTACTATAGAGCCGAAATCTTGGGTTATAAAATTTTATCGTGAAAAAATGAAACAAACGTTTTCTTTTGCTTACTCTGGTACGCCTTATTGCATCTTACACTAATTTCCCAGTCGTTTTCACTGACTGAGAGAGTTACAAACTATGTATAGAAGAGTTTTTAGAGCGTGCATCAAGAAAGTATCAAAATAAAGGACGTATTTACCAAATTATTATCGGTTTGTGTTTTATTTGACAGTCGAATTTGTAGAGCTTCGAGCCATTTAAGAACATAGGTTAAATCACTTGCGGCAGCTAGAAAGGATTGAGAGTGAGTGTGGATTTTCTGAGAGGTGGAAGAATGCTGGAAAAATAATGTTGATTCATCCATACTCACAAAGGTTGGGGAGACGAGAAGGAAGATCACGTAGATCTTTTCATTGTTTCCGATTTTGAAATTATGCATAACATAAAAAACGCGCGTTCGATAATTCAAAATTTTATAAATTTTATCAAATTTTATTCGGTCAACTTTCTCGCAATTCCTCACCACTTTCACTTTCTTGAAGGAATATGCCACCAAAAAAGCCAACTACGGAGCCTGTTAAGAAGCGCCAGACAAAAATAACCGAACTCCTTACTGTCGGAAAACACGACGGGGATGAAAAGTCGGCCGCGCCAGGTTTAAAAACAAATCAAAAAAAAAAAAATCGGCAAGAAATTCTCGAAGAAACGAGCAAGAGTGGTGGTCTGGTGGAAGAAAAAAACGAAGAGGGGGAGAACGAAGAGAAAGAAGAAAAGATTGTACATCTCGAGGCAACTTCTCTTGACGAGGATGATACAAAGCGAAACTTGGAGAAAGAGTTCGAAGAGATTCCCTTAAAAAAGAAAGCGGTTATTAAAGTTGAAAAGGCTCCTGATGCTGAGGAGGAGGAGGAAGAAGAAGACGATGATAATGTTATTGATGTGTATGAAGAGGACGAAGAGAATCAATTTGACTTGGAAGAGACTTCTTCACCACCAAGTGAAGTTGAAGAGCAAGTAAATGATAAAATTCGTGCATCTAAAGAACCTTCGCTTAATGTTAAACATACTGGCAAACTAAGTAAATTTATTTTCAATTGTTTCTTGTAATAACAGTATTTTACGAACTTATATTTATATGAAACTACTTTTGTTATCTCTTAGCTTTCCACGATGAGCATCTCACACCTGAGCAAAAACTCTTGCACGCCTTCGATCTCACTTATAAATTTGGTTCGTGTGTTGGGGTGACACGTCTTGAGCGATGGGAACGTGCAAAACGATTAGGATTGAATCCGCCAGAAGAAATCAAGGAATTATTGATAGCCGAAAATGCAGATAAAGATCCTGAAATAAGAGAATCATTATTCTATGGAAGAGTTTAATTCAAATATTTGGATGTTGAAATGTTGTAATTTATATTAAAAAAAAAATTCCCAGATAAAAACTTTTACGCTCAATAACATCTGTATATCAAATATCTGCAACATGTATTAAATAGATCATCAATTTCAGTCCAGATGATTCTTCTAAATAAAAGTGTACATAATGGTGTCGACACCTCCACCACTTGCTGTAGTTAGTCGAACTTCTGGTTCTTTGACGGCAGCACGTAAAAGAGTTTTACAGCTGTATCGTGATTGGCATCGAGCAGTATGTATAGTAGAGAAGATTTATGTTGCGTGACCCAGTCGGAGCAAAATTACAAGAAGAGAAAAAATATGGATAAAAACAGTTTTCGAATTCTAGTTATTGGGTTTTTTTTCGATAATTCTCAATATTTCAAGTTCTTATTATCGAACATTCACAACTTCCTTCACTATTTCACAAATTAAATCTAAGGCTCCAAAAGTCGTGCAACTCTATCTGCTAGACTACCCAGCATCAGCGGTACGCGCAAAAATCCGACAAGAATTTGAACGTAATCGATATGTGAATAATTTAGCAGTAATCGATGTTCTACTGCTGAAAGGACGAAATGAATTTAATGAAACGCTGAATCAATGGAAACAACCTACTCACGTATATCAGTTTTTTGAAAAGGAAGCTTGGGTTGCAGCGGATCGTGAAAAGAAGGGATTTTTGGATAGGTTTTATGGTGTGTAGTAAATTGATTGCGTATCAGAGATTTATTTAATTTATTAAATGAATTTTTTTCCAATTTTCACAGAGGGAAGGGACTAAGTAAGATAATCATGAAAGTTTAGAGGAAGGCATTGAATTATATTTAACCAAAACATTAAATTATTATATTGACACGTCATCCCGAGAACAAATTTTTTTGTTAACTGGATTTTTGATCTCTAATAAATCAAAATAATCATTCACTAATTACCAATATCCACCATTAACTTAATAAATCTTACAAGTTATACTACATTCCAAAAAAAACCACCTCCATTTTCATCCAAGGAAAAATCACTATGACTATTATATATATTATGAGAAATGCAAAAATAAAATTGCTGATTAATCATCAATTTTTATTCTAAAATTGTCGAGTGTGTTATAGATACAGGAGGGAATGCAAAGAAAGTGTAGTAAGTAATTATAAACTAGGGTAAGGTAAAAATCACAACAAAAAGAAATGATGATTCAATTCCGCGGATTTAAGTGTTTGTATAAATATGATATTTTTCTACAAACGTCGCCATATTATTTCGGCGCGTCTTCTCTTCGAAAAACGTACCGTGATCAATTATATTAATTTATTGATAATATTATTATTAAAGATTATTGTTGTTTACATTCCTGTTCTAATTTATAAATGAAAGAAGCATGTCAATATATATATGTACGTGATAATATTCTTATATACGAATAAAAAAAACCGCAATGAAATAATACCTGGATTAGCGTTCCGTTTTTTAACCTGAAACTTTTTTTAATAAAAGAAAGAAGAAAGTAGCATATTAATAAATCTACTGGAATATATTATATAGACACCTATCATATCTTAATGTATGAATAAGCCAACAGAAAGGGAGATGTGTGTGAAGCACATATGGATTGGAGGAGATATATAATAAGGGATCCAAAAAGTCGAGTGAAATTAATGATGTTCCAAAGAAGAGATCGGATGAAAAACGTATTTTTTCTCGCCGTAATATTCTAAGTGTATAATGTACAGATGACCAAAAAGTACCCCGAAAGTTTCATCGCCTCGATGCACCCAAGAGGACCTACATTTTATGGTTTCTATGTTTTATTCATTTTTTTCTATGAACCTTCTGGTCAAGGTCGTGTTTGTGTGTGTATTTGCAAAGTCTTACTAAACTGCTGCCATGAGATATATGGCAATAAAACGAAAAGAACAAATTCAATTCAGAGTTCTAACTTACACCCAAGTCACCTTCATCGTCGTCGTCTTCTTCTTCTTCGTCCTCGTCGTCCTCCTCATCGTCCTCCTCTCCCAAATAAAGTTCATCCTCAAGATCACCGATTTCCTCAATCTCCTCATATCTTAATGCTTTACCAGTATACCAATCAATAGCACGAGGAATAAGTTTTTCTTTTATATCTTCGCCGATTTGATAATCGTGTTCAAGACGTTCATCCAGATTATCATTGTCGTCATCATCCTCGTCGTCGTTTTCCGGAACTGTTGGAGGATAAAAGAATCTAAAGAATGTTTCCGCTGGTACCGACGTCTTTATAATTCGTGTTTTATGGGTTCCTTTTGACAAGCGCATTACATATTTCAGCTAAGAAGATTATCATTTGCAACTTAAACGACTAAAAAAAAAAAAAAGGAATAAACCTTTATGTTTTTGCTTTTTCGTTTCCACCGTAACTAGGAGATCTTTGCCTTCTTTCCAACCAATTTCAGTACCCTCAGCATGATCATATACGAAATCACCACCATATCCGGGTTCTTCTTGATAAAAGTATGTTTTCACTAGGACTTTATTTGTGAAATAAGGATTCTCGTCAAATTCGAATTCAAGACGGAATCCGGGTTTCTCAAGATACGACATTCGAATATCAACCAGATATTTTAGTGCATCATCATCTCGTTTCGTGATAATATCCGTTGAAAAGAGATTTTTCATTGATGTGAGCCAAAATTCCGGAATGCCTTTCTGTGGCCCGTTCATAATTTCTGTAATCTTTTCCTTTTCGTTTGTGAGAGAAGCCCCAGTAGCCGCTTCCTCAGAATGTGATTCTTCCTCGTCGATAGCTGCACCAGCCTGGACCTCTTGGTCCGTCGGCTCAACGTTTCCACGTACAATCTGTGCTCGTTTTTCGTATAAGGGTTTATATAATTCCAGGTATTTCTTTTCCAAGGCTAAGATTTCCTCTTGGAATTTTGCTTCTAATTTCGCGTGTTCTGATTGATGATATTTCAAGCCATTTATACGACGTTTCACGTCCTCCGGTAAACTTTCAATGTAGCCGGAGGACTTGCCAACTAGTGAGCCAAGTTTACCGTGAAGAAGGGAAACCAAATGAGGATTCGGTCCGTGAAAATCTATATAATGCAAATTCGGTTATATCAGCAAGGACAGCGCTCTCCAACAAAACGATTATTAACTTTCCGTTGGCGACAAACTAAAAAACGAACCTGAATCAGCCATTTTTTCTGAACGATAAAGTGTATTTTGTTGAATAACAGAAAATTTTTTATTGAAGCTTTTATATAGAAATTTTTCACAAAATAAGACACTATTGTGTTGTATCACCATTGATACGTTATCGGTATTGAACTGACAACCATGGAGGTAGCTTTGACCTCAAGCATAATGTATTCATTGCATTGCTTACCTTAATTATGTAATAAACCACATGAATGAATAAGATTTACAGTTAAATGATAAATATGATTTATAAGGATAAACAAAAAAAAATGAATTCTTATTCTTCAATCTTTAAGCAACGAGTTTACTACGTGTTCAACACGCATATTCTTTAGATCAGTATAAGTTTGCCCAGTACCAACAAAGAGGATGGGCTGACCAGTTATATAAGCCATAGACAAAGCCGCACCGACCTGATAATAAAAATAAAAATAAAAATAAATAAATAAATAAAATAAAAATAATAAACATTAAAATATCTAAAAATACTTTTTATTATTTCATTTGAAACACATACCTTGTCATCAATAGTATCAAACTTTGTCAAAATAATTCCGTCAATATGTCTTGGATTTTGGAGTCCAGAGAAGTCTTTAAGGGCCTGATTAAATTTAGTTAATTGATCAACCGCTTCATTTCCCACGAGAGCTTCTCCGACAAATATAATTTTGTCTGGATTATTAACCGATACTAGCTATTAATTAAATAGAGTGCAAAAAAATGTGAATAGAGGATTAAATGTAAACAAATCAAAATATTGAATACATCGCGTACCTTAGACAGAGCACGCATCAATGGTTCATTATCTTGCATACGCCCAGCCGTGTCGATCAAGACAACATCAAACTTATTTGCCTTCGCTTGGACAAAAATTAAAGATTTCAAGTTAATACTAATAATGACACATATCATTTAATTCAAAAAAGATAAAAGCAATGAGAATGATGTTCCATGTAAAAAGAAAATGAGGTTGCTCACCATAATTGATGGCGTCTTTCGCAATCCCAGCCGCATCCTTTCCATAACCACGTTCATACAATTCTACGGAAGAATTTTGTCCCAATGCATTCAAGTTCCTTACGTGAACTCTCAATTGCTCGACAGCTCCTGATCGAAAAGTATCACAGGCGGCAATTAAAACCTTCAATCCGTTTTGCAATAACCAGAAACAGGTCTTGGACAAATTTGTAGATTTGCCACTTTTTAACGCTAAAATTAGCATAATAGTCTCAAATATACAAATCTAGAACATTGACAATAACACGAACTTACACTCCGTTCACTCCAATGAAGCACATCGTATAAGGACGTGATTCGGCTTGAGCTTGCCCAATATCACGAAGCAAGTCAACTGATGTCTTCGGCGTGAGAATACGTTTCAACGCAACCTCCATACTTTGTTTTACAGTTGATTGCACGCCTAGGATATATAAATTTATATTGTGAATATTAATGATTTCTTAAATATAAAGATATAAATAAAATTGACTTACTCTTGAAACTACCCAATTTTTGACCAACAAGATTTTTCGCGACAGAGTCACATAAATGTGATGCGATATCCGATGCGACATTTTTCTTGATCAAATGCTCTCTCATATTCGCTAACACAGGCTCAAGATCTTTTTCACCAAGTTCTTTTTGTCCAGTAATGCTTTTGAAAAATGAGAACATACCATTCCCATTTTCTTTCCCTTTGTGAGAAAGTCCATTGGTATGGAATTCCTCATCTTCGTCTTCATAATCTACGTCTTCATTCCCACCCAAGTCCTGCACTTCATAATTACCATTACGATCACGATGCCCCATTTGACTCTTATCAACCAACGTTTGGGTAACCGGCAAGGTGCCGTCACCTTCCCCTTTTTCATCAGAGTAATTCAAACTTTTCTCCTGCTCTTTCGTCAACTGGTCATCCCATTTACGCATAACTTTCTTTGGCTTTGTTCCGCTAGTGAAAATAAATTGCATTAGAATGCAAATATTTATTAAATTTGAAGGTCATAAAAGCTTACTTGTTTTCGGTCGCGGGAGGTGATTTACCACGACTTCTTCTCATTCGCGCTGACTTACCACCTGCGCCGCCCTTAGCACGCAATGCTTCAACTTTACGCGCAATTTCTTCTTCATCTATTGCCGGGACATTCGATTGCTGAACAATATCTTTAGCCTCTGCGTGTTATTAATGCATGGTAATTGCTGTTAGTTAGTATGCTAAGATCTGATCTCTATTTATAATCACAAGATAAAAATATTTGAAAGCAATCATAACTCGTACCAAGTTTTTTTGAACCTTCCACGGTTGCCTTGTACTTTTTGGTTTCTTCGAATTTTCTTGGTTTAGATCGCTTTTCCTATGAAATTAAAAAAATACAGGTCAAGGAAATAAAAGATGAATGAATGTGTATAAATTTCTCCTTCCATGTCCAAGAATTATTTCTTACTTCAAATCCTCTTTCCTCAAAAGTTCTCAAAATCATATCGAAATCATCGTCGAAAGGAAATAAATGCAATTTTCCAGTATCACGAATGATTTGCGCGAATTTGTCGCAAAAGAACTTCCTTACGGTGGCAAGTAACTCGTCAATGTAAGCAAGTTGAAGAATTTTTTGATAAGCAACCTGAAAAAAATTGAACGAATCAAGGGTTAATGGTCTTACATAACCATTAAAAAATTATATCGCATAGAAAGAAAGATTTACCACAAAGATCAAGTCAAGTTCATTTGCAAAGGTCCACTTCACGTTAAAGCTATCCTTTGTATAGCTGTTTGCACCGGCTCTTTCCTCGATGAGAACATCCTTAATTAACGCGTCTACTGGTGAAGCAGCAAACCGAGCAAAGTTCTTTGACCAAAGAACTATGCCGCCCTTGGTTAAAATGGTAAATAGATCAAGCATGATTTTTTATTTGCGATTGAGGTAAGTTTAAATCTAAAAAGCCGAGTTGTGCTATGTGTCATGATATCAATATTTGAAATATTTTTTAAAAAAGAATCAGATTTGGGAAAGATCTACATGAACGATTTCAATTTAAATGTGCGATCAGACTTACCAAATTACCCAACTATCTTTTTGAATTTTTTTTAAAATGGATTTCGAAACAAATAATGAATCAATTTTACCAAATGGCAAATTATCACACTCAAACCATAAAAACTCTATGTCTAAAACACGCCAAGAGTCTCGTACAGGGTCTTTGGTCGACAATCTTGACATAGACGGTTTAAGTTGGCCAAGTAGCTATTCTGACTTTCTAGCACGCTTTAACCAATATATTGACATATAAATTGATTTTATTAAAAGAATATTGGTGATTTTTCTCAGGCATCGGTACGAAGCAACGTCTAAACGAAACTGTCGAACAGAAACAAGAAAGAATACGAAAATTAGCTTCAGCAGTTCAAACCATATTTGAATGCATAGGTGAAGACCCTACTCGTGAAGGTCTGTTACGGACTCCGGAGAGATATGCGCAGGCTATGCTGTTTTTCTCTAAAGGATATGAGGAGAGCATTCAAGGTATATATGGATTTTCCTTACATTAATTTGAACCATTCTTCCGCTTGCTATCTCACGATCTATATTATGCTTCAATTCAGATATAATCAATGGAGCTATCTTTGAGGAAGGTTTGTTCTACGGAAGACACCTCTATAACTTAATAATATTCCCTAACGAAAACGTATTATTGCTCTAGATTATGATGAAATGGTGATAGTAAAGAATATTGATGTATTCTCTTTATGTGAGCATCATATGGTTCCATTCACTGGAAAGGTAAATTCCAAGTGTTTTATGATTTAACACACCAATTATGATTAGATTCCAATACCTCCTCTCACTTTTTTAGATCAGTATAGGTTATATTCCTAATCGGCGTGTGCTTGGGTTATCAAAACTTGCACGAATTGCCGAAATGTTTTCGAGGCGACTTCAAGTGCAAGAACGACTAACAAAACAAATTGCTGTGACGCTCCAAGAGATCTTGAAGCCAAAGGGTGTTGCTGTGGTAATGGAAGCGAGGTAAGTCCTAGATATCGCCCAAAGACGTTAGTTTAAATTCACATAAACTCCGATTCACTGACTGTTCTTTATCATTATAAATTTCTTTTCGGTAGTCATCTTTGTATGGTTATGCGTGGTGTGGAGAAACCTGGAAGTTCTACAATGACCAGCACCATGTTGGGTTGTTTTCGAGAGCAAGCAAAAACACGTGAAGAATTTCTAACATTAATCAGAAGTTGAAGGCCAACAAAATAGATTTTATTTATTTAAACAGATATCTAATACTCGATACATTTATCTCTGAATCACGCAAAAACGCGTCTAATATAAATCGGACAATAATAAATATAGATAGAGAATAATTTCATATAATCAGCATTTTTTTCACCTTTTTTTGAATAAACAACACCTCCATTAAGATGACTTCGAATTGATTACGCGCGTTAAGATTCACTATCGAATGCAAAAAACCGTTGTGCTACAATTCCCATTTTGACCACGTTATCACGATCAAATATAAACAAGCTAAAAAAGGAAGTCTATTAAACAACCCCCATAACGTGTGCATATTTGATATACCAGTATTAAATACTGTGGAACATAAAATAGCTGAAGTCATAGGCGCAGTTATGACGCAAAAGGGCTGTCCAACTACCCATGACCCAAGAAACGTGCACCTCTAGAATCAAGTACATTATCAGATACGTATTTATTGTGTGTATCGTTATAGAATTCAATCCTTATTGGTTATCATTGATACTACAATAGCATTCAATTGCTATTATATTACACGCCACATATTAGTTTTACTCCGCAAAATAATCAATAAAAACTCCGTTAAATGAACAATCAAAAGACCCCTCTTATATTCGTCATCCTTGAACACGTAATAATAGATTGCGTAATTTCTCTTAAAGTGTTATGAAATCAGTAGATCAGCACGTAAATATTTAATTTATTGATTGATCAGATCATTCTAAATATTATGCATGAAATACAACTCAAATTTATATTAAATTAAAATAATCATAATAATAATGCCAAAATCATGGGAAGAAAAAGAATAATGATTTTTTTGCCGTAGATGGTTTTTTATCGCCAAATCTGTAATTTTGTCGAGTATAATTAAGAATTAATTCTCAAAATATCCGCAAAAGATATCATTTTTGACCAAAAAATAAACATTTAACCTTGATAGTACGATCAGCACATCCGGTTATTAAATTACAATCTCCGAGCGTCATTGCATGCACAAACCCTATGAAAAGCGCGCCATTAAAGTTAATTACGCTTTGGACTTATATCCACATATATATTAGAGGGAATTTGCGTATTTTTATTTCACCTTGATGTCCTTTCAAAGTTAAATCACATACTATCTGGTTCCTCACATTCCAACGTTTGATTGTGTGGTCAAAACTTGCACTAAAAAGCGATCCATTCGTATATTCCAGCTGCCACACTTCCCAATTATGACCGGACAAAGTGTCAGCGGGAGTATAATCATTAAGATTGTAAGCATGTATGACCGCATCATAGGTAGATGCGAACAACATATTGTCACCAGCCGTTACGTCTAATACTTCTGATGAATGTGATGAAATTGTATGCAAGCACCTGCCTGATGTTACATCCCATATCTAGATTTTATTAGTGTAAATTAAGCCTAGATAGTCACAGAAATAATTGTAATATTTTTACCTTAACGCTATTATCACTGCCAGCAGTCGCTAATTTCCCATTTTTCATTGCGATCAAATTGTTGACACCATCTGTGTGTCCAGTGAATGTGGCTAGATTCTCTAATGTAACAGGATCCCATACTTTTACAGTCTTATCGGACGAAGCAGAATAAAGTCTATTATTATTAATAACTAATCCATATATTTTTCCAGAATGCTGGGTCAAAGTCCTAATACAATTGGGTGTGTCCGATTTCCAATCCCAAGCCTACAAAATATCAAAAATAATGTAAAAATCGGTTCTCAAGAAAATATTAAAATACTTTGTTAAAATTCCTTACTTTAATTGTGCCATCAGAGCCTGCACTAAAAAATCGTTCGCTTTCAGCATGAACCGCCAGAGCCCAAACTGACATCTGATGACCATGCAGGTTTTTTATCAATTCTCCGGTTTGTTCTCGGAAGATCTTTAAAAGACGAGCTTATTAAACTCAATAATATAAAGATAGGTCAAATTTCTAAATCTCGGATGTACCTTTGTAGAGCCATCATGAGCACCGGCAAAAATTAAACCATCATTATATGCGAGCGAAGTTACACCGCAAGTATGTTGTGATATGGTACGGCAGCACGTGATATCTCCATGAGGAAAAGTCTATTTAAAAACATTTTAATAAATATGAGCATTCATCTACGAACGCATTAATTAACACAATACTTAGCATACATTCGTTACAAATTTAGATTCTTCTTCCTCTTCGTGCGAAGAATCAAAATCTCCGTTACCATTAACCAGATCATTCGTCGGCTAAAAAATTTCTATTAATAGACTCCTATTATGCGAATTTTTTCAGCAAATTGAAATACCGTATGTTTTATCCGTGACATATGCACAATTTTTTGTAGTTTTCCCAATTCGTTCTGTTGCTCCTAAAAAAGTGTCTATAATAAGAGATGTCTTTCCTAATCATTAAGGATCCTATTCAACGCGCAAAGTCAATACCTCGATTTTCTTTTCTAACTTTGCAATTCTTTCATTATTACTTTCAATGTATTCTTTAAATTTTTCATAAACACATTGTTCAAGGTGTTCTTGAACAGTCTTCGTAGTTCCTATTAGTATTGATAGCATCAGATCAACCATGAACATATTAATAGAATATCATTGATTAAAAAATTCTACCCTTGAAATCACATCCGTATTTTGAATTTTTGCAGAGGGCCGGGGAATAAGTGCAATACATCGAATGATGTTCAAGAGAATCGAGACGCACAGATGCAGGACATCCATATTTTTTGTTGCTACAATAAACCAGAAGTTCTTGAATTAAGCTGCCTAAAGCTAAATTAGGGTGAAGATCTATTACATTTCCAAATAGAGGATCTAATGTTAGATAAATCCCTTCTTAATCTCACGAGATCAGGAAATGAATTACCAACTAACCGTCTACTTTTAAGCGGCTCCGACATAATGGACAATATGGTTCCATTTCCAAACTCTGGTAGATACAAGCTCCGCAGAAAGAATGATTACACACGTTAGTGATGAGTGGTTCGCGGCATACGTCATGACACCTTTTGAATTAATAGAAATTATTAAGGTTCATGAAGGTAAGAAAAAAGAAGTTGAGTTATAAACTAAAATACCATACACAGGACACATTAATGAATGAGAGGGGGTGTTCACAAATTCAATATTGTCATCTTGTGATTGAACATCCATATTTCAAAAAATTAATGCCAATAAGATTTTTATAATATTCAAAGATAATTGTCAAGAAATGCAATTGTCCCGAAAGGCAGGACATAAACATCGATGGACATTTTGAGCATTAAAGCTCTGCCTTCTGTTTTGGATCACTTGTGTACTTCGAAAAATTTAATGATTATCAAAGCACCCTATTTCGATTACTGTTTTCAATAGATCTGACTTTCAATAGATTTAGGGCCGGAATTTATGACCCGAATTTTGGTAACATGACTAACCAGTTGGGTTTAGTCGAGCTTTTTAGTAATGATAAAGGTTATGTAACGTAAATTAAATTAATTTTTGTGATAATCAAATGTTTGGTTACATTTTTGAATATGTGGGTAAAAGAATAAGATGAATACAAAAATCATGCAACCAGTGGATATATCTGTTAAATCATTGATGGGATATTAACATCCATTAATTCATAATTCTTATCATCATCGTCAACATATTTCTCAAAAGGTATGCGTAATCGAATTTCTTTCTCTAGCATTAGATTCATCACCTCTTCTAATTCTTCTGTGGAGAAGTGGGAACGAAGACGTCGAAAAGCAAGTAGATAGATATCTAAAGAAAATTAACATCCAAAAGTATAAATTTTTACGTTATATAATTAACAAAGAAAAGATGAATCATCTAATAGAATAAACCTTTCGACCAAGGACATTCTCTGATTGCGCGAAAGAATAATGCCTTTGCCCGATCTTGCCGGTTGTGTTTAATCTCGAAATTGATATATAAACTCCATATTGAAACTGAATGCCTTGTCCTATGAAAAACAACCAAAAAAAATGATTAACGAATTGTGTCGAAAACATCTTCAGAATATAAATTATAATACGATTATATTTTACGTTGGACATTCTAGCGCTCTTTCAAACAAAGCTCTTATCTGGTGTTGATTATATGTCTTTTGTAGGTGTAACTCTGCAAATACAGCAAATGTCCACAACACGTGACTTGGTTTCCTTCAGAGAAAAATGGTATTAATGATTGACTTTTTCAACGAAGCTAAACTTCATTTTGACGAAAATGCTTACTTGATAAGAGCAGCATCCAAAAATCGACGTACACGATTTTGGATTTTTGTTCTTAATTCATTAAAGAAATAAAGTGATAGAAACTCGGAGTTATCAGGAAAAATTGTTAGCGCCTTTTCAAGGATCTCACGCAATAGAGCAGGACGATATGCAGTCCCCAGTTTGGAATGTTGATAGACCAGTTTTGCATAAGTGTTTTTTCGAATGATGTCATTAATTAAGGAATAATGTTGACAATAATCAATTAAATTCGTCGAATTCAAAAAAGACACGAAAGAAAAGGATATGCCACATATGTCAGTTCACATTCTATTGCCTGGCTCGCATTACGAGCAACCAATTCAGCAAGCATTGTTTCATATATTTTGCAGGCTTCGCCGAGATTCTGACTTAGATACTCGAGCAAGGAAAAACATACACAGAGATGTATGACGTTTCTGGCGTCGGCTTGAGATGCGGCCAAAGTAGACATTTGAGAAATTTTTTGTGCGTAGTACTAAAATCAAAAATTTATGATTATGATTATGATTATTTTAGAATAATAAAACTTATGAATAATAACGTACTTTACGCGCTCTGAGCAATCTAGTTGGTGATGGTGGAGACATGTCTTGTTCTGATACGGAATCTTAAAAATTTATAAATCGTTATTCATCGAATTAAGAATAACTTGCAATTAAAAAAATCTACTAACCAAAAGAACTTTTCTCTTCTGTTAGCATTATTAAAATATCTATAAAAAAATATATATATGATCAGAATTTTCAATCATTTCTATGCTAAATTGCCAGTGAGGCACTTACTTAACGCTGTATTTGGACGGTTTTGTTCCCATTCCATCTCGGCAAACATCCTATGTAGTAATGGCGCATGAAGCTGATATTGTTCCGGAAACGAACGATACATTGAAAGCGCAGTAAGATACACTTTACGAGCCTATAATTAAACATATATATACATATTATGTATTTCAATACTGTTACATCAAAAATATATCCAGTATTTTGATTGCAAAATAAATTTACCTCGGAAATGTTATTCCGGGATTTTTCAAGTTGAGCGTATCCATTCCATAAAACAAGGTTCATTCTGTCTGTTTTTAACAATTCTTTTGCTAACTTACGTCCTCTAGTCAATTCAAAAATTTTATTAACAATTCATCATTTGCTCAATTATAGGCAAAAGAATACGTATTACTCACTTTTTATTACTTATTAGATTTTCTATTACCAGATGACATAAATCAAGATCTGTGTCGTTAAGAACCTTTCGAATCTGAATTAATGCATTCCTGACAAAATAATTTGGATCAATTAAATTTTCTCAAGAATGTCAATATAATAAACAATTAAAAAGCCTACTTTGCAAAAGTAATGTTAAAGTCTGTCAGCATTGTTTCTTCACAGATACTGAACCAATCATCAGATTTGAATAGATTATCATTTTCCTGAGGAAAAGTTTTCAACGGGAACTTGAAAACGTTGTTATCCCCCGTGCGTGTCTCCGACTCCATTAAAATTCCATGAATATTATTAACTACCGTGAATGCTGAATTTTCCGAGAGAGGCCAAAAATTGGAATTTGCCAATGACTCATTTGCTAATTTTGGATGTAAAAATGCATCAGTGACAAATGAATGCCTCGAGGATCGACAAGGGTTGAACGGTAGCCCAAGGAAATTAAAGCAGGCATATATCATATTGTTGCGCGCTTTAGGTGAAGTCAAATCGAAAATAAAGCTTTGGATATCATCAAATAACACGATTCGGAAGGGATCTTCAATCTCAAGGTTTTCATTTTTGGAGTCTTGGGAATTTTTAGAGAGTTTTATTAGTATGGTTGAGATGAAAATCGATCATTTATTTTAATATTGATTTACCTGAACGTAGCGGTAACGCCTGAGCTTTCTCCAATTCTATTTCGGCCATTAGCCAATTGTGATAGCCGTCTTCTGTCAAAAAATAGAAGCATTAATGAGTTATTCTCAAAATGACCGACACATAAGTATATGTACTTACCCGCTTCATCTGGTGAAGTCATCCTTTCATGAAAACTCGTATTATCCTCATCATTATCATCAATCGTATTCTCCTCGTTGGCATAATACATCCAACCTTTGGCACCCTTTTTGTGGACGGAAAAAATTAAATTTTAATGCCTAACGACGCCTAAGAGAGATTATGTAATAATTACTTTCTCCCCGAATCGTGGAAGTTCCGTTTCCCAAAACTCTCCAAACTTCGAAAGACGTTCCTCATAACTTTTTCCTTTTAACATTTCTGGTAAAAAAAAATTCATTTCCATTACACCTTGTAAGCAAGCATATGCTCTCTCCGAGTAACCTATAGACGGTAAACTAATATAGTTGAGCTATATAAAAACAATATGTAAAATCAAATGCCAATAAGATTCTTCTAACCTGATTGTATCAAGAAATGACATAATCGTATAAACACGTGAATCATTATCTCCTCAATTTCTTCAATATCTGCAAAAAAAAATGAAACCAAAAATAATAAATATACAATTCCAAAATATTTGCCATCAAACATATCAAGATACCGTTCAAGTTCTCAGAAGATGCGGCTCCTCTAAGCACATCCAAACATTCCTCAAATACTTCAACACATTGTGTAAAAGTAAATGAAGCAAGATTGGTTTGTCGGAAATTAAGATATTGCATCCAAAGTTTTATTGCGCGAGGGTTCTCCTTCAATACTTGATCCCATTTCGTTAACAATCTTGGGGGACTTTAAAAGAATAGGACAGTCAATATTTTTTACGCGTAATCATTCATGAGACAATAAGCAGATATTTACTCCCATGTTTCCTCACAACACTTTAATAATCCCAACAGTAATTCCTGGTTATTTGGATTTTTTTCCAAAGCCTTTTCGAACATACTGATTTTGATCTCATTGATGCTAGCTCTTGTTGAGGAACTAGATGCTTTTTTCCCGATCTGCATACTTTCATTTTGAAACTCGATAAATTGCAGCCAAAGGGATATGTTGTGTGGTTCCTGAATGAATTATGTGATAAGCAAAATAAGTTAAAAAAAAAAAAAGGAATAAAAATACTATTTAATAAAATGCGAAAATTTATCAACCCTTTCAAGCTGAAGAGTGAAATTCTTGGTTTTCTGTCTAATGTGCTCCTCGTAGGTTAAGCCTTCCTTTTTATCTATTTGTACATTTTCTTTTGATTTAATATCACGTTCCTTTTTACGTTCAATGTCACGATAATCCGGTACGTCGTAATCTTCATCTTCATCGTTTGAAACATTGCCATTGTCAAGAGGTATATATGTTTGATTCCAATTAAAAGAAGACTGATTCGCTTCAAAATCAAATCTAAAACATTTTCTAATAAATAAGTAACATTGATTTATAAAAGAAAACTACAAATATTCTAATATTCTAACCTTATAATATCCTTATCGTCGCGTATACCGTAGCGCTTATCTGTGTATCGGATAGTCTAGCATTCATAAGGGTTGCCCGCTCAAAACTTATCCCAAATAACAAATTTTTCTATATAAAAAAAACATCTGCTTACTTTTTTATTCGATGATGAACGAATCACTATCCCCTCATTGCCTTTGCTGGCTTTTTGATCAATTCTCAGTTTACTCGATAGGCCAAGAACACAACCAGCTATAATATAAAAATTATAAATTAATCAGGATGAGACTACCAGTATGCAGAGTAAGATATGTCTAAGAAATTCACCTCCAGCACGGTGATATAGTGGAATATCGTATTTATTAAGTCCGTATGTTAAAATGTTGGGATCTCCTCGACGATCAACTATAAAAAGTCTTGAATCAGAGGATATCTTCCTATTATTGAAAAACATAAAGCTAATTTAATATGCCAAGGAGATGTGGCTATGAAAGCAATAGATATAAGTAATATACCGTGGACTTGGACTACGCTCTCTATGCTGCCAAGCAAATTATAACAAACTATTTAATATTTTAATATGTTGGTTAGAAATATTCATAACCAATAATGTATATGACATACTTTATCTCTCCTTTTTTTCCGATCTTTTGATGTATTTCCCAAGCGATCTCGAGTTGAACGCGATTCGTAAAGACGAGAGCTATGACGATGTTTTTTTTTTGAGCGTTTACTTCGCGAATACTCATCATCAGACTCATAGGACATCGAAGATGAATATGAATCGTGACGTTTCCTGCGAGATCTCTTTAATCCCAAAGGTTCGTCCCACGATTCACGAATCCTCTCATCTTCTATTGTAGAAGATTCAGCGAATTTAAATATTGAATATGAATTACAATTGCTAAAGAACAATCATAAGGAGAAGCTTGAATTTAAAAATACTTGATTCAAGATCCGTTATCGCTGGAAATGATGAGAAAGACGGCGCCGAGACATCAATTTCTGGAAACGATGAGAAAGAAGGAACTTCCACCTCAGTGGCTTGTAATGAAGTTGATAATGTGACGTTTGGATTTCCCGAATTATGTTCAGAAGTTGATTCACTCGTGGATGACATTAAATCAGACTTGACAATCGATGATCCAGCAGAGATTTTTGCCATAAAAAATTAAATTATCAAAGTCAGGTTACGCGAAATATCATTGGTCTTATAGAAGCTGAATATAATTTATAATGTAACCTTTTCTAACAAAGAAATGATACCTGTTCGAATTTAGTAAGAGGACAAAGATTTCTCGGTTATGACAAATCAAAAGCGACTGTAAACTAATTAGATAATGTGAAATTTCAGAACAATGGAAATTCTAATTGTTATTGGTGATCGTTTGATCATATATAAATATATAGATTTATCAGACCACACACCCCTCGTTTATCGTTTTATATATCTTTTTAAATATATTTATATTTCCAACTCAGCTCACAAGAAAGCTAAATTTCTTCTCAATCTAAACTAACTTATCTCTCAACATTTTAATGAGCATACAAAACAGCTCTAACTCCAAGAGTTTACCTGCTTTACATGGTGTTAAGATCAAAACAAGAAAAGTTGGTCGTCGTTCCTTTATTTTCCTGAGAAATTATAAATAAAAGCTTAACAAGTTTCCTAAAAATACTTTTTTACTTGGTTTTATTAGGGCCTGCAAAAAGCCCAGGCGAAATTTGAGCCAGCAAGTAAGCACCATGGGATATCTCATCATCTTTTTTTTTACTGTTGATCTGCCTGTTGACATCTCTTAATATCCATATTTTATTTAGTATTTCGTGATAGTATTTTAAAAGTACTCCAAAACGCACAACCTGGTGATTTTGATGAGATTTCGCAGAATTTAGATAGCGCGGGTAATAATCTTGATTATCATAAATACGGCGAAACTTTATTTGAAATTCTCTTTACTGGTGGTTTATTGGGTAAGTTATCGATTTGATACATTCTTGTAAAATGTATCATTTCAAGATATTAACATTGATGCCATTTTCCCCTATATAGCTCCTGGAGGAACATTCATAGATGGCGCAGAACGTAGTCCATTTTCTATTTTCGCGGCGGAGGATAATACGGAAAGCATCAAAAAACATGTTGAAGTTTTCAATAAGTTGATCCGTCGTTACAAGTATTTGCAACGAAGTTTTGAAGATACAATCAAGAATTTGCTTCAATATGTGAACAAATGGGGTACCGAGGAAAACAATAAACTTGCCACCGCAGTTGGTTTGTTTGCCGCTGCGCAATACGTGAATATTAACGTTTTGACAGTTTTGTTCAAGGAACATCTGGTCAAAGAAGGTGTGTAAAAATTTACTTCAAGTACAGGAGCCGCCGAATATTTTTAGAATTTATACGAAAATTCTGATTTGATTTGATTCATAGGCCTCTCGCTCCGATTTGTCACGACTGTATTTAAAGCCTATTTGAACGAACAGACGATCGATCATTTGGGCAACTCTTTGAAAAAAGCGGGCATGGACAATAAACTTTTGGAATTTTTCCCACCGAACAAACGGGATGAAGAGTATTTTGCTCGTTATTTCGAAGCTGAGGATATGAAACCTCTTGTCGCATATCATAATCAGAAGCAGAAAAACACCAAGAAGGATCGAACAATCGCTCAAGTGAAGAAAATGATTGATGCTGAGAGTACCCCTATGGAGGTAGTACAATTATATATACATATATTGTAAATATGCATCATTATTTATGATAAAAAATTAACGTAAACATTATGTTCGGTGTTACTTTTAGGTTGTTACCTACCTCAAACAACAGCAAAAGGAAGGAGGATGGCAAGAAACGGATTTTTGTCAAATAGTCTGGGAATCTGTGATTCAAGCAGTTGATTGGGGAACTCGACCTGAACAGATTGAAACGCAAGCATTGCGTCAAGTCAAAGTAAGTGCCCCTTTTTTTTCAACATGACCATAAATTTATTTTGGCCTTTAAAACTAAACTAAAAATCTTTCCTTTTTTTTTTTCTTTTTAGACATGGTCAAAAGTTTTAGCAGCATTTTGCACCAGTCCGAAAACCGAACTCGCACTTATTCAAAAAGTCCAAGTTTACTGTTATGAAGATACAAAATTGATGAAACATTTCCGTCAAATCATTCAACTTTTGTATAACGAAGACGTTGTCTCCGAAAGTGCCATCTTGTATTGGGCAGATAAAGGTGCTAAGAATCAAGGGAAAACTGTATTTCTTAAGCAGGTGGAATCTTTCATCAATTGGTTAAAAACTACCGAAAGCGATGACAGTGAAGAAGAATAATCATAGTAATAATTTTGTTTCAATAATGATAATTTGTTTTTTATTCAATTTTGTATTTTTTTTTAATTCTCGGATGGTTATTAGTTTAATTAATAATTGGTTTAATTTTTGTGTTTACGCGAAAAATTTTAAATTGTGACAAATCGAATTGAACTTATCCGGGTTTGCGAAAATTTTTGATCTGCAGATAACACAAACCAATTAAAATGTGCAAATTTTTGATTAGTCCGACAAACTTTGGTTCACTAATTTCACTAATTAAAAATGTCGGCGAGACAATTTACATATAACCTTAACTCTAGCCCTAATCCTAGCCCTAATCCTGCCCCTAACCCTACCCGGGTGCGCAGGGTGGACAACTTTGACGAAAAAGTAAAATTTGCTTGCCTTTTAAGGCTGAACACATAGCAGAAGCATCTTTTTTCCTAGAACTCCCTTAGAGAATAAGCGGTAATGAGTGATTTAAAAGGTATTTACACTTCACAACGCTTTATAGCATTTCACGACACTTCGCGACTGACTACCTAACAAACATATCATTTTTTTTTAGTTATATAGTTACTACTTTCTCAAATTTATAAAAGCGAATGTTGTTGGAAACCAAAACAATCTGTGCTTAGCTGGTAAACTTTGTTGAAGATAATTCACTTATTTACATGTAATCAAAGAATTAAGAATGGGTAAGTGTTTGATTTTTGTTACTTATAATGGAGTTGTCTAAAGCCTGGTACATCATGTTATCAATTCCCTTAAATTTTCAGCGCATCCGGTGGATGAATTTAATGATTTATAAGGTCAGGGTAAGGATAAGAGGACAAGATTATATGTAAAATTGCCATCCCGACATGTTTAATTAGTATCTTCATGATTTTGAATTTTAAAAAATTAAAAATAATAAATTAAAAATTAATTTATATATATTTATAAAAATATCATAAAAGATAAAATATAACACTAGATTTATTATATTTTGATTAACATAAAAAAATTAACTTTAAAATTCAAATTTATTATAAAATTATAAAATAATTATATTAATAATTTTAGATTAAAATTTTTTAAAAATTAATATATTAAAATTTAATAATTTTTATAATAACAAAAAATTTATTGTTATAATATAAACTTTTTCATATATATTTTATTAATATTAATTATTTTATAATTGTATTTTTATTGAATGATTATTTAATTATATTTTATTGAATAATAATTAAGATAATATTATTGATAGATATTTTTAGATAGTTTTACAAGCATAATAATCATAATAAAATTATCATAACAAAACTAGTAATATTATCATAACAAAATTAGTATTATGATACTAGTAAAAGAAATATTTAGATTATAATAAAAGTATTATTTATAGAATTTTTAAAAGTAATATATCTTAATTAAAAAGAAGAAAAAATAGAATAATTAATTAATTAATAATTAATAAATGAATAAATTAATAAATTAAAGAATAATAAGATAAAATAATAATTTAAAATTATAAATTAATGATCTTTATTAATAATATTTTATTTATTATAATATATATTTCTTATATTATAATTTCAAATCATATTCTAGCTAATTATATTATGAATATATTCTTGTTATCTATCTTTAATCTCATTATAATCATAATCTAATATCTATTATATTATATTTTTAATTATATTAATCTTTTTTATCTATAATTAATAATATCTTTATTAAATATCATGAAATAATCTTTTCAAGAGATATCAAAAATGATAATAATATGTATTATATAAAAAAATAATTAAATCAAAAAATTTAATTTTTTAATAATTATTTTATTATTAATATAAAAATACTTAAATTTTAATATAATAATTTTAATTATTTCAAAAAAATTTCTTCACAACTAATAATTTAATTTTATTAAAATTTGAAATATATATATAATTATATTTTTTTAAGTATATCTTTCTTGAAATTATAATAAAAAAAATAAAAAGTATATATTTAGAAAGAATATGAGTTTATAAAGATCAAAATATATAAAGCTCTTATAAACTGGGATTAGAATATACCATGTATTTAGAAAGAAGTTATATAATATGTGCACTTAGAAAGATTTAACTATATATTATATATTTAATAATATATTTACATAGTATAAACTCTTAAAATTGCAAAGTTTATCTTTTAAAAGTTAAGAAAAAGCTTTGTGTTTTACTATAAAATTAATTCTCATTGATATTGGTGTATGCTGAAACTAGAGAATAGAAACTGATCAGTCAATGGGATGCGTTAATTTCAGTTTCAGCCAGATTAGTTTATGAAAAAAGTAGAATTGGCTGCTCCGCCACATTGCCACATTTTCCTAGTTCTTTTTAGTTACTCACATGTGTGCATAGAAGATATTGAACTTTGAAAAAACAAGTCATTTTATACGTTATATATTAGATCTTATCACATATCAACTTTTAGAGATTAGTTAAAGTAGTTTTTCTATATTAATATTAATTGACAACGAAATAAAATATCCCAATCGTTATTGTGGTACCGTTTAAAAAATGGCACAGTTACAAGTAATTCTGGACCGACTCGTTGCTGAGAACTTACATGGTCCAGTATCAAGCACCACTACAATTTCTAGCACTTCAGGTGTGTCTTCTATGAACTATTCGTCGCATCAAAGGAATCTATTACGGAAACCATTGTCACAAGGCGACTTATTTTCCGCTTTTCATCAACGTGAAGACGAGGATTTGGATGCTAATGACCCAAGGTTATGGATTAAACAATTTATTAATAAACTATCGTTGATTTATATCCATAAATAAGGTTTAACTCTTGATGATTCGTTTTATTTAGGTGGTTGAATCTCTTTGTAGAATATTTTCTAGAAAATAGTGACACGAAGAATGATGATTTATTATTTTTCGTTCGGCAAGCTCATCCTGAAAACGAAGAATTAGATCCGGTTTTTGTTAAGCGAAAATCACCACAACCACATGTTATGCCGCCGTTAGAAGATGCTGTTTTGTGGAAAGAGACGTTCTTCCTGAATTTAATAGTGCAGGTATATAAAATAAATATCAATTATCACTAAAAAAAAAAAAATGGCTTGTTTCACAATTATTTAATTGTTATCGCTGAATATTGTGGATGAATAGTTACCATGTAAATTAACGGTAGCTGTGTGTACTCGTACAACTACAAGCAATGATGGTACTAGTTCTGATGGAGGCAGCGGAAATCAAAAAACTAGTATGACATGTTCGCGTAAACATGTGTCGAAAAGGGTTTATGCATTACCAACAAAACCTCAAACTGATATAAAAGAGACATCAATGGAATGTTCATATCCACTGATTTATTATGTAATTGACGATTATGAAGAAATGTTCGAACATTTAATTGTAACTGAGGGAGAATATTTATGTGTGGAATTGGCGGTAACTATACCAAGAAAGAGTGATGTCGAGGAGGATTCGGAGGATGAAGAAAGTGACGATGATTATTATTCGCGGAATAGTCAACGAAATACAAAAAATCGAAGGTCAATGACAAATGGACCGTTCCCGCAGCCATGTAATGATAATAAAATTACTTTGTTTCAAGGTGCTGCGTCTTATTCGTCTTTATTAGAGATTTATAAACAGAAATCGGCTAGTAAATTAAATCGACGATTTAAAATGGGACCTGTTACTCCACCCACGGAATATGTAATGATGCGAGGACCAGGGGGAAAGGGACATGCACAGGCTTGTGAACTTTATTATTACATATTATTGGATAAAGTGCTTTAGATATGATTTTAATGACAATTCTTATGAAATAAAGGTTGCAATAACCGCTACTTCGATAGAGGAGGAGGAAGTCGATAATTCGCCGGAGATGACTGAATCCTCGCCATCTTCACTTCAACAAGCAGCAAACTTTATTCGAAGTAATACTTGGAATATAAATACATTAAATAGTAATAAAAGCAACAATAATAATAATAATAATGGTAATGATGATGGAAATAATAACAATAATCGAGGGGGAACAACATTACGAAGTAATTCACAATCACAACAACAACGCGCAAATGCTTCTGCTTCTTTTTTCCAATCATTAAAGCGACTATCATTAGCACAACTTGCAATATCAGATCGCTCGCTCACAGATCCTGAAAGTTTAAAGTGTTGTATGACGTTTGTTAATGTTCCTTGGACAAGCATAGTAAGGTGAGAGAGAATTAATTAGAAAAATCTTTATTTCCACATTATATTCTTTTTTTTTAATTTGTTAATCCTTTTTTAGTGATTTGACAACATATGCACGAAAAAAGAATTTAACATAAAATCAATAGTAACAATAGTGTATAGATACATTCGGAGACGTGTGATTCTTATTTTGTATATTTATAAGTTTGTCTAATTCTTATTAGTTATATAAAGTATTTGATGGCTGTGATTACATTCGAATTCGTTTAATGTAATATTTCCTGGTTTGAATAGTATCAGTATTACCCTTGAAATTGAATCCAATATGAATAAATAAAGTTAGTCTTTACTATGCATATCGTATCCCATATAGGTTC